CAGTTCTTCCTGTCTCCCCCTTCCCCTGTGGGACATTCTTGGAAGGTACCATCCCACCTTCAATATCTACCCTTTCTGTCACCCTGTACTGTAAAGTGGATCTTTCCTGAAAGATAACACCCCTTCAACAGCATACAACCATCCTGTTTCATCAAGCTCCTTGGGTCATTCCTGAGGATGCCATAGCTTATGACATCCAACATTTTCTGTCTCTGTCAATGTATCTCTTTCCTGGAATATACTATCCCCAATATATCTACCTTTCCTCTTCTCCTTCTAGATCCTGTGCTCATTCCTGGAAGACAATCCCATACACAAACTCAGGACCCAGTCTCTCCCCTCAAGCCCTTTGGATCGTTCCTGGAAGATATATTCGGAACACCATCCACCCTAATTACATACCCTTGTTGCTTTGGGTCATTCCTGGCACATGCCATCTACTCCAAAACACCCCCACCTCTTGCTTTCCTTCCCTGAAATGATGGATCATTCCTGGAATGTACCATCTCCTCTATACAAGTTACCTATCCTGTCTACCCCTACTCTTGTAGATCATTCTTGGAAGATACCATCCTGATCACCTGCTGGAGTCCTCAAAGCCCCTGATGACCATTCTGTGAAGATACTACTCCCCTTCCTCCCACCCCACATTTTTCACCATGCTATCTCCCCTTGGCCCCTTTGAGCTATTCCTTGAAGATGCCATCCTTCAATCTCATCTGCTCTTTTGCATCCTCTCCCCTTTCCTGAAGATACTATCTCCCCACATTATCCATGCCAACTAATGGAGAATACTATTCATTCACACTATATTTTCTGTCTACCCCTGGCTCTGTGACTCATTCCTGACCTATGCTATAACTTACAAATCATCTAACTTTCCTAAAGGCTCTATGGGTCATTCCTGTAGAATACTATTCTTCTTTTCCAATATACATATTTCCTGTCAACACTCCAGTCCCTTTGAGTCATTCCTGGAAGATACCATCTTGTCACACTTCCTGGAATATACCATCTTGCCACACTACTTACTCTTCAGTTTTCCTCTTGACCCTGACTCTTCTGGAAGATCATCAGATCTCCAACTTTCATGCTTCCTGCCCCTGCTTATTATAATGGATCATTCCTGGAAGATACCATTCTTCCAACACCAATCCTATTTTTCCCTGTTCCTGTGGGTAATTTCCTGGATATCTATTCCAACTGGATCCCTTATATTCATGCTTCATTCCTGGAGTTACCACACATAATTCTTGTCTCTCTCCTGCTCCTTTGAGTCATTCCTAAAACATACCATCCCACACTTTCTGTCTATTCTCTCTGACCCAACGGTCATTCCTAGAAGATATCACCTCCCAACACAATTTACTCACCCTGCCCCTGTGGGTCAACTCTTGAAGATAGCATCCTATTCACTTCTACATTTTTTCCTGAATCTTGAAGTCTCTTTGCCTCATTTCTGGGAGATAACACACCCCTCCCCATTATCCAACATCAAGTTTCCCCTTGCTCACTTTAGGCTATACCTGAAAGATACCATCCCACCAATATCATTCACTCTTGATATCTTCCCCTTTCCCTGTAGTTAATTCCAGGAATGTACCATCCTTCTAAATGACCCAACTTTCCCTGCTTTTCCCAGGACCCTTTGGGTCATTCCTGGAATATACCATCTTTATGACATCTATCTTCCCTCTCTCTCCCTTAGCACCTGTGAACCATTATAGGTAGAAGCCTTACCTATAAACCACTCCCTCCTACCCACCCCCATCATTCCTGGAACACACTATCTTACCATAACCACACTGTTCCTTTCTCTTCCCTGACCCTGGCTCTTTCCTAGAAGATAATCACATTTTTCCATGCCAACCATCCTCCCTTCTCCTCTGTGACCCTGGCACCTTGCTGAAAGATATATCTCCTTCACAGCTTCCATCCTTTCTCTTCCTCCTCCTCTACCCAGTGAGTCATTCTTGGAATATACCATCCTGCCCTAGCATTTACCCTTCCTTTTTCATACACCCATAGGCAAATTTCTGGAAAATACATTTTCCTCCCTTCTCTGTCTCCCCCCAGTCCCTACTGGATATTCCTGGAAGATATCATGCACCCCATACCATACACCCTCCCTGTCTGCTACCTAGACCCAGTGGGCCATTCCTGAAACATACCATCACCACACTCCTATCTGTCCCTCACCAGCCTCTGTGGTGCATTCCTGGAAGATACCACACCTAACAGGATCCACCCTTTAGTCTCCCCCACCACTTCGGTGGGTCATCCCCAGGAGATACCAGTCTGCTGTACCCTTTTCTGTTATCTGACTCTGTGAGTTATTACTGGAAGATACCATCCATCCTTCCTCTCTCCCACCTTGTTACAGTGGCTCATTCCTGGAAGATACTATCCCACCATACAATATCCACCCTATCATGTCTCACCTCATCCCTGTGGGTAATTCCTAAAAGATACCATCCCCCTTTCCCACCACCATCCACTCATTTCTTTCTCTCCACAGTGCCCATTCCCAGTGGGTCACTCCAAGAAGATATCTTGCCATATCATCTACTCTTCATGGCTCTTTCATGGAAAATACCATATCCTCAGGCCATCTAGCTTCCTTTCTCCCCCATAACCCCAGCTCATTCCATTGCCATCATCCTCCTCCACAACTTTCCTTTGTCTTTTTTGCCACTCTTCCACTCAGTTTATCATTTCCAAAAGATAACATTGTCCTAATACCACCAATCCATCCTTCTTGTCTCACCTGTTTCTGTGGTTCATTCTTGGAAAATACAATTCCCTGCTCCCCAACATCCAAGCTCTCTCTCTTCTCCCAAGCCCATAAGCACATGCCTGGAAGAAACTATTATCACTGCCACAATCCATCCTCCATCTCACTCTGCCTCTGTGGGTAATTCCTGGAAGATACTACCCTACAACACCATCCATTCACTCTTCCTGGATAGAATCTCTGACCCTACCTCCAAAATGCCAACCCCTCAAACAATACCCACCCTTCCTGTCTTCCAGACCCCATCCAGTGGATGATTTCCAAAAGATATTCTCACCCCAACATGATCCTTCCATCTGTCTCCATCTGTTTCTATGGGCCATTCCTGGAAGATACCACCCCCCCACCTCAGCCTCCTCTATCTCCCCAACCCCAGCAACTTGAGTTATTCCTGGAATATACATCCCTACCTTATCTACCCTTCTCTGTCTTCCCCAAGCTCCCTGGTTCATTCCTGGAAGAGAGCTTCTTGCCATACATCCACCAATCCTGTTCTCCCTGCCCTTGTGGGTCATTCCTGAAAGTTGCCATCCACCCTACACCACTCACCTTTTCTGTCTCCCACCCTAACTCTGTGGGTCATTCCTAGAAGATATCATACCACCCCCCAACATACATCATCCACCCTTTCCAGTCTCCTCCAAGCTCTGCTGCTCATTAATGGAAGACACTATTTTCCATACCCTCCACTATTTTCCCCTTCCCAGCCTTGTGGCTCGTTCCCAAAAGATACCACCCCCCATCCATAACATTCATCATTCCCTGTCACCCTGAAGCCTCTTTGGGTCATTCCTAAACATGATCTATCCTCCAGTTTCTCTCCTGCCCTTGGATTATTCCTGGATAAAAACATCTCTCCAAGCCATACATCCTTCCTGTCTCCCTTTTGCCTCTGTGGCTCATTCTTAGTTGATGTACTAACTCCTTAGTGTAAAGACTGCTACATCAAGGAATTCTTTCTTTTACCCTCAGACCAGATATGGTTCCCCTTGTTGAAGGAATTCTCTTAGTATTATGTAATTATGTACTCAATGTCTATCTTGCCTGCAAGAACAATATAAACTCTATGATGATAGGAGTTAAATCCTAACAAGTTTACTACTGTTGTTCCTCAGTCAGTCCTGCACAGTGCCTTTACACAGTAGGCACAAAATAAATGCATTCTAATAAGTACAAAAATGCTATATGTGCTAATTAATTAAAAATACATGCAGAGTCACATGGCATATAACAACATTTTAGAGCAGAGCACTGGTGGCTTATGCCTGTAATCCTAGCTACTCAGGAGGCAGAGATCAGGAGGATCATTGTTTGAAGATAGGTTTGGGCAATAGTTTTGAGATCTTATCTCAAAAAAAAAAACCAATCACAAAAAAAGGGCAGGTGGAGTGGCTCAACTGGTTAAGACCACCTGCCTAGCAAGCATAAGGCCCTGAGTTAAAACTTCAGTGCCACCAAAAAAAATCTGGGGGGACAGGGGTCCATGATGGATGCATATATAGTTATGGTTCCACAAAATTATATGGCCTAGTGTGGTAGTAGCCATGTTAGTTTAAATACTCTCTAGGTTATTAATACAACCATGAAATCACCTAACAACACATTTCTCAAAAGGTTTTCCTGCATTAAGTCAGTAAGTTATGACTACACTAGTGAACCATAAGTTACTAAACTAATAACACAGATCCTAACTAGCCAAGTCTTTTTATTTTGGTGGTACTGGGTTTGAATTCAGGACCTCACACTTGCTAGGCAAGCACTCTACCACTTGAGCCACTCCACCAGCACACAGATCCTAACTGAAACCATTATATAGTTTATAGTTTTCATTTATATAGACTAGTTTCCCTCCATTTTCCTATTATTCTATATCTATATGGAATTACTTTTTAAATATATTTGCAAACTGCTTTTACAGGCAACCTCTATATAATATAAAAACATAATTACTGGGTTTATTGCAAATCATATGACCCTTTCAGTAAAAAATGCTCTACTTCATGCATCTACTTTATTCGATTCATTTTTTGTTCAAACATGCTCTGAAGTGTTAAAAGTGTCCTCAAAGTTCCTACTGACTGAATAATTGTTAGATTTCGTCTTAACTTTTTTCCTATAAGTTACTAAGAAAAACATTGCAGTTTAAGACAGAATATAAAGGATCAGAAGGGAAGATAAAATGTAGATTTTAAATAGTCAGGTATACTTTGTCCAGCAGATTTTATCAATGAGATCTTTCATGGTCATCTTGTCCCATTCTTCAGCATGAGGGGCCTGCCACGGTGCATCAGCTGGAATCTGTAAGGAAAGGAGGTCCCACACCTCAGGTATAAAGGTAACTGCTACTACCACCCCACCCCTCAGAGAGTCCTAAATGAAACCTTTAAAACTGGTTTCTTGGTCTCTATTAGAATGTGTAATTGAGTTGGAGTTCTATGTAGATGTGAGGGAACTCTTTGGATTCCATGCCTTAATATTATTGCCAAGATAATAATAAAAATGACCATAATTACATATAAAATCATGTATATAAATGTATCTGTAATTATGAGTAAAATGATGATGATTATCATTATTAATATTATTATTATTGAAAGCTAATACTCAGTTTAGGTCCCCAATTTAAGTTTGAGAGAGTGATTTTACAGAGCCTGAGAGTAAATAAACAAACTTTGGGGCTGAAAATCCTCCCCTCGTTTACTATTTGAAGTAGCATTACTGATGGATAACTGGAAATAGAGATACTTGGTAAAAATATGTCATATAAATGCTCAATGGCACAGAATTGAAGGCACACAAAAATTAGAATCAGCAAAAGTGGGTCTGAAACTGCGTTCCACTGCTGCGTGGTCTTGGGTAAATAACAAAATCTCTTGGTACTCATTTTTCCATTTGTCAAGTAGAAATCATACCAGCTTTGCAGAGTTGTTGGGTGTATTGGAAATGATACACATCAATGTCCAAAGCAATGTTCTCTGTACCTTGAAAGGATGTCAAAAAGTTGCCACTATTGTTTCAGTAATAGATTATGTGCAAACTGAACACACATTTTACCTCCTTTCCCATGTTATCCATTGTTCGCCACAGGTTGTTGTAATCCAGATATGCGATGGGGTTCCACACAGGTGGAAATGCTCCCCGAAATGGATAAGTTTTCCCCTGGAACATAAAAGCAAAGAGAACCAAGTGTAAAGGATAATCCCTTGAGTTAGGATGACATTCTAAAAACATAAGAAAGAATCAAACAACCTAAGTCATTTTTAAAGCAACATGATCCTCTTCTATGTCAGAAGCATTCCCTTTGATGGAAAGTAAATATATTTTACCCAAACAGGGCCATTTAAGATTAGCAAAATTTCCCCAGTGCTGTGTAAGCTGTTTTTAATTTATAGAAAATCATAGTTTTTTATTCATTTCTAGTTATTTGAACAAATAAGTAAGTAAAGGTAACTCATCCTAGTATCTAATGCTGAGGCCACAATATTCTTAACCCCCAAGTGAGTTCTTATCTAATCTCTTTGGAAGGAAGATCCTACTCAGATGAGAGCAGAATGAGGACATGGAGGGCTGTCTTCATACCACATATAGGACCTGAATGGCAAAGGAGAATATCTCAGACCATGTTTTAAGGTTTACACAGGCTAAATAAAGATTGGCTAGACTACAGACTATGTCTGATGCCAAAAATCAAAATATTAGCACTATGGAACAATGGGCATTTGTCCAGCATCCATTCTCCTTTCTTGGCAGTACTCTGCTTTCCTTTTTGGGAAATTTCCTCTCCTCCTCTGTGTATATCTAGGTAGGGATACCATCTACCATTATAGAAGGTGATGGGTAGAATCCTCCCTCTCTACCACCACCTTCTGATGGATCCCAGCTGTAAGCCTGTGATCTGACCTTGGCCAATCACATACTCTCAGAGGACTCTGACCCTGGGGGCCATCACCCGAGTATAGAAGAAAGTAGAATGTGGGTTCTTTTTCCCTGGAACAGCATGTCGAGCAGATGCTTCCTGGTACAAACACCATGACTATCATTCCTGCCCCTAACTTGCCAGAGCTCTCCTGCTCTCTGCAGATTATCAAGTTAGTCCTCTTGTTGATTCTGTGAGCCTTCTCATTTCTTTCAGTTAATTTCCTGTTAGCCCAAGTTGGTTTCTATGGCTTGGTGCCATGACCTCTAACATGAAGACAGCTTGTTATTAGTGACCATTTATTTCATTATGTGAAGCACACTATGCTAAGCAAAAGCAAGGGTAAGTAGAGGGTGAACCCTTAGGAAAAGAGACCAGTACTAGGTAGTTTCTAAGATCTCATTTGCAAATTTAATTCCTTTTATAGTCACTCCTCTGTATCCTCAGATTTGGCATCAGCAGATCCAACCAACTGAAGATGGGAAGTATTTAAAAAAATGATCTCTACTGAACATGTACATACTTTTGTTTTGTCATTATTCCCTAAACAAAACAGTATAACAATTATTTACATAGCATTTACATTGCACTAGGTATTATAAACTGTCTGGAGATGACTTAAAGCGTATGGGAGGATATGCATAGGTTATATGCAAATACGACACCATTTTATATGAAAGACTTGACCATCCTTGGATCTTAGTTTCCACAGGCGTTCCTAGAACCAATCCCCTACTACAGATACCGAGGGACAATTATATTTTAAAAATAAATGTCTTCTCAACATTCATAAAGTCAAAATCTTTTCTGCAAGTACAATTTTGCATGAGAATTTGATTTTAATTAAATAAATATTTGTAGAAAACCTACTGCATGTACTGTACAACATCAAAAGTTGTATTAACAATTTGTCAAAAAGTTTCAAGGAAAACTCCTGACCATCAAGGCACAGGCACAAGACATAAAAGTAAGTGCATGTACCCCGCCCTCTACTCTGCAACTAAGAATATATAGCATCCATTAAGTGACAAAGAAGTAAATTTCCTTTCCACATAGCAAATTCAAATAACCCTGGTAGATTATGTGATCTGATTTCTTATCTGATAATGCTATACTGCAATGCTGTAATACACTTTTTGAGACTCCAAATCCTTTATCACCATCACCACCATCATCACTAATGCTTATTGAGCTCCTTCTCCAGGGCTGGCACTGGCCAAAGATCTTCATATGCGTTATCTCATGTAGTGCTCCCTCCACCCTTGTGGAGCCAAGCACTATTAATATTTCCATTTTATAAATGAGGAAACTAAAGCCCAGTGACAGTAGCTAGTAAACAGTAGAGAAGAAATTTCCTGCTCCCAAAGCCTTTGCTTATAAAATGTGCTTTCCTGCCTCTAAATGGGTGATTGAATGTGAAGATAGGTTTGTTCTAGAGACATTTTTAAACTTCACCACTAAAAGAAAGAAAACTCTGAAATGTGGAACTTATAAATCTTCCACATACATCTTTTTTTTGTTTCTAAAGAGTAAAAAATAGAGAGTAAAACTCCCTGGGGTATAAAATGACTGCCAAGGAAACATGGCCATCTTTGGAAAATGCTACGTGTTCTGAGAGAAACGAGCAGACATTTTACACAGAACACAAAAATAACTAGAGAGAGGAGACAGGCTGGGGTTAAGTAGTAGCTTGGAAAGCCTTCCGAACAGCTGGCTCTTGTTATACATCTTCCGCAAATTGAAATCTAGAAAAATCTATATTTTCTCTGTAAAATGCATTTATAGTCAAGGAATAGTTTCATACAAAATGAATCTCTGGTTTGAAAAAATATTTTATTTAAAATTTAAATTTTCTCAATCATCTGGGGAGATTAAGCAAAATATTATAAACATAATTCAACAAAATGTGTTCCATACTCCTAATGAAGTTCTTTACAGAATGATGCCAACTTGAGTGTGCTTACACAAGGTTCTAAGGATGCTGTGATCTAAGCCTTCATAAACATACAAAGGAGCCAGGAGAAGTGAAGGGTTCAGGGAGAGAGGAGAATCTGGCTTCACAGTCTCCTCAGGAATGGAAGCCATGAAATATTCTAAAAGAAGATAATAAATGCCCTCTATAATATAAACTTTTATTCTATTGACAAAGGCACCAAGTTGAAAGGATTTCATTAAATACTTTCATTTTATCAGTTTCTGGCTTCTCTGTCCTCATTTTACAGAAAACCTAAACTTGCTAAAGAAATGCACATATGTGGGGAACTGGCAACTACAAGACATTCCTCCTTTCTCACAAGTGCTTGGAAGGGCTATTTCCTCCACAGCCCACTTCTAGATTAGACAATTACAGATTACTTTTGTGTGCATGAATCCCTAAAGTAACACAGTAGGAGGGCCTGGAGAGGTCTTGTGACTAAGGGCAAAGACCTTCTCAGTCTCCTAAATGTTTCTCACCAAGGTGCCAGCAGTTTCTCTCTCAGTCCTAAACCACTTCTCAGCAAGAAATGCCTTCATGACCAAAGAGTGAGGCAGGGGGTGTGCTTCCAAATGACTACTGCTCTTTAAAAATAAAGGGAAATAAAAAATCTAGAGTAGCAATCAAGTTCATTTTGTGTCTATGCTCTGAAATTTCACTACTTTTCCAAAATGGCCTTTAATTTCTAAAGGACTAACAGCAGAAATTATTGATGTTGGGTAGAACACATTGTCCCTGGAGCTGTACCCCAAATACTTAAGTTCCTTTGAGTAACCACATCTTTAATCTACCAATGTTCATAATAGCAGGAGGCTATTGACAAAAAGATGACAATTTATAGCTCCCATATCAGATCTTCATTGTTGGTTCTATAAGCTAAGCCAAGTCTATAGTAAGTAAGTAGCACTTACTGATTGTCACGTTGAAGTGTTTCATCTCTCTATTTTTTGAATTTTAGTTAAGCAAAAGGAAGTAAGTGCTATTATAGTATCATAAGTTGCTGGGGAAGCTGCCAAATATTTTTTTAATCACCTTAAAAATAAACATATACCTTCTGGATTGGTTTAGGAACATGCCTTCCCAACCCATATGAATTCTTTGGGACTTGTGTAGTCCGTTTTGTGACAAAGTCTGTAAGAAAAAAAAATTTTACATGGAACCAGGGCCTGTACATGTTAGGCAACTGTTCTACCACTCAGCTATATCCACAGTGAGAGAAATCTTTTGATGGTTTCTTTTCTATAGTTCATAATACTGCTTTAAATAAAGAAATAATCTAAAAAAAGACCCATTAAATAGGATGACAGTATTATGCTGTTAAAAGTTTACAAAATCATTTTCTAATCCTTTCTGAATGCAAGTAGCCAAGTTCTCTTCAAACATAAATGACTTCCACTCTATCTAGAAAAAGCCTTCATACTCTACATGGAAACATTGGAAACATTTATCTTTTTCAATTGTCATTCTTTTTATATTCTTCTTCCTTTTTTATTTTCTTCTTGGTGTTGAAAATAAAAAACAAGGCCTTGTGTGTGTTAAGTTCATGCTCTATACCCCCAGCCCTACATTCTTTTTTAAACAGTCATACTCAAATGAAGTTTGTTTCTTTCATACCCTTTTATTTACAAAATGTATTCGTCCCCGCCCCCCCCAAGGAAAACTTCACAGGGGCCCTTTCTCTAAAGTCACTAATGAGATCCTTATAGCCATATTTGAAGGGAAGTACCCATCCTGTTAGCACTTGGCAGCATGTGATCCACCCTATCAGATGTACTGCTTTTCCCAAATCTCCACCTAGTTCTCCAAGACCCTCCCCTCTCAGATCCACTGAATCTCCTAGGGTCCCATCCTCAGTCTTTTGCTTTTCCTCTGCCCACCCATTTCCTATTTCCCTAGGGAACTCATCCACCATCTGGTTTTGTTATTATTATATTTGCACAGTGTTATGGTTTGCATTTTTATGTATCTTCTCCCTCTGTTTATGAGTACAAAATTGTTATCTACAATCTCTCACACAACTTCAAGGTCTTGGCAGTACTTTCCTACATGTTTACACACAAACTGATATTTCATCATATTCTTAGCCCCTGTCTCAAGGCTTGCACAGCGACTGGCTAACATAGTAGGTGCCTGAGTTATACAGTCCTATCTCCAGAAAAAGAATTATACTCAAGTATAAATGATACCCTAGCATCAAGAGTGAAGGGTTTTAAATGAATAATAATACCATCTTTCAAACAGGATTTTAGTTACACACAGAAATTTAA